GGAGTCGTTTGCCTCTGTCCCACAGGGTTGTTGGAATTAACAGAAACTCTGTGGGTTGGTTGGTTATAGTAGTAAATAGTGTCTTTGGGTGGTACAAAAGATTCTATGAAAAAATACATCGAGCAGGCTACACCAAAAATAGCACACAGAAAAAATCCAACTGTCAAAAATGCACATTAGAAAAATGTGCACATGGAAAACTTCCTATACAGAGAAATATGTACATATAAAAATTCTCATATTTACAGTATCATAAAATAATTAATTCTAACCCCAACCTGAACACACTCCCTGCCTTAACACTAACTTGGATGCTAACCTTAACCCTACCTTTTATAAAAAGAATTTTTCTATGTGGTCATTTTCTTGTGTGAACAGTTTTCTTGTACACATTTATGACTTTGGTTTCTGTGTGCAATTTTCGTATGAGCTTTTTTGGGTGTGTTTTTCTCTGGTTAGTGGTGCAAACAGCTAACATGCTCAGCTGCTAGCTGATAAGTTAGAGGCTCAAATTTACCTAGAGGTCCCTTGGAAGAAAGGTCTGGTAATGTACTTCTGAAAACTCAGCTGCTAAAAGTCCTATTCAGACATACATGGGGTCGCCATGATTCAGAGTTGACTTAATGCAACTGGCTATTTTTCTTTTATTTGTTGTTGTTGTTAAGTGCTATCGAGTCAATTCTGACCCATAGCGACACTGTGTAGGGTTTCCAAGGAGCAGCTGGTGAGCTTGAATCACCAACCTTGCAGTTTAAACGACTTTGCAGTCTGACGCATTAGCCCACAGCACCACACAAGGAGTCAGCAAAGTGTAGGGTGAGTAAACTATATAGGTCTACACAGATTTCTTTAATCAGAGTGAAATAGTTTAGCTTTTTCAGTTCTTTATGACATGGAAAATTGGAAGTTGTGGAATGATCCTGAGTCTTGAGAAAGGGATAAGAGCTGCTGTAGATCCATGCTCACCATCTGCAGAGGGAGGGTCTGTCTTCTGTGATCGCACTGTGACACTGGATGGCCTGGAGAGGTCGGTGCCCATCCTCCACACATGCACCTCCACAAAGCCCGCACACTCCTCCACAGAGTACTCCACATCGCCAAAGTAGAAGGCTGGTTCTGTTAACGACAAAGCAACATCCATTCCTGTCATTGCTGTTTTCCAAACTGAGCTCTTAAGGCTGGCTAGCTTATGGACTTCTTTATTCAAACTATTTTTTTCTTTGAGTAAGATGCTATTGCTAGCAGCTGAGGAGTCAACCCAAGATGCATAGTCACTGCCTGGTCCGCCACCATTTCCAGGAACAGTTGGGGTTGAACCATTGTGATCCATAGGGTTTTTACTGGCTGATATTCATAGGGAGATTACCAGACCCTTCCTTCTTGTTTATCTTAATTTGAAACCTGTTCCATTTCATGTTGTCCTTAAATGTGGTCGAGTGAGTTCCAATTATATGTATGTACAGGGTTTCCAAGGAGCAGCTGATGGGTTTGAACTGTTGACCTTGCAGGTCAAACTGACCTACAGCGCCACACCAGGGCAGTATCATAACAACATGCTATCCTCCACTAACAGATGAGTGGTGGCTTGCATGAGAAATACTGGGCCGGGAATTGAGCCCCAGTGGCGCTATAGGATAAGCACAAGACTGCTAACCACAGGCTGGCAGTTCAAACCCATTAGCTACTCCTGGGAAGAAAGAGGACGCTTTCTCCTCCTGTAAAGACTATAGTCTGGGAAACCCTATCCAGGGTCGCTATGAGTCAGAATCACCTTGAAGGCAATGGGTTTGGTTTGATTTTATTTTGCAAAGGCAAGAATTGTACCGCTGAATCACCACTGCCCCTATTAGTAAGAAAACATTTCTTTCATCTATAGATTGCTGTAGCTGTCAGGTAAAAATACCTCTGCTGAAAAATAAAAATACAGATGTTAAAGTTCTCAAGCTGAGAATAGAATGTAAGAGTAAGTCAGTCTCATGTGTGGGTTATAAATGGATTCTGAATGTACTTCCCAGAAGCTTGTAAGACAGCTGGAATCAAAATGACACAAAACTCTCAAGGTTGAACATTTGTATGTTTTGCTGTATCTCCTATGGAGTCCTGGTATGATGGTGCAGAATAAGTACTAGACTGTTAATTAACTACAAGGTCAGAAATTCAAACCCACCAGTCACTCCTTGGAAACCCTATGTAGGATTACTATGAGTTGGAACCTACTTTACTGTATTTATCAATAACAACAACCAGGTTTCCACTCCAAAGCACACATAGAGCTGTCAGCATTGTGTCATCTATTCCATTAGACTTGAACTTAACTCCGTGAAATTAGGTCTGTTATAACCACTAGGGTGCGCACCTGTGGGTGAATCAGACTAAATATGTACTAACTATGTAGGATCATTAAATCCTGAAAACTTCAGGAAAATCAGAGCCTGATTGTATGCTACCTGTACAGTTTGCTGTTGTCAAGTGTCATACAGTTGGTTCTGACTCATAGTGACCCTGTAAAGGGTTTCCAAAGAGTGGATGGTGAGTTTGAACTGCCGATATTGCAGTTCAAACTGACCTTGTGGTCCAGCACATTACCCTGCAACATTTGGAGGGTGGTGATTAATACAACTGAGCATCACTAGAGAAATAAAAGATATAATTTCATATCACCGAGTTTACATTTTTCTTAAACGTATATGAAAATAACGGGACAGCCGTTTAAGTTGGGCATACATTTTCCTCCATATTGGTGACAATATTGTTAGGATCCATGTTGGTAAAGAATTTTGAAAATACAGGAGGAATTCAAAAAGTTTATGGAAAATTAGAATGAAAACAAAATGGAATTTTCTCAAGAACTTTTTAAAGCCCCCTTATCCTGTGGACTGCCAAATGAATAAACAAATCAGTCTTAGAAGAAATACAACCAGAATTCTTTGTAGTGAGAATGTGGAAACTTCAACTCACTTGTTTTGAACACATCATCAAAAAACCAAGTCACTAGAAAAGGACATCATGTTTGGCAAAGTAGACGCTCAGTCAGATAAAATGAAGAAAACCCTCAATGAGATGACTTGACACAAAAGCCACACCAGTGAATTCAAGCATACTAATGATCATGAAGGTGGTGTAGGGGTGGGCATATTTACACCATAGAATAACAAGAAACAGTGAGGACATTGCTAATACATCTGAGTGGCTCTAAACATTTCTTCAGATTCCTGTTGTAGGTTAATGCGCTGGACTGCAAAGACGGTTTGAACTGCAAGGTGGGCGGTTCAAGCTCACCAGCTGCTCCTTGGAAACTCTATGCAGGGTCTCTATGGGTTGGAACTGACTCTATGGCTAGTAACAACAACAAAACATTACTTCTGGAGGCCAGGTGTGGTGCTGTAGGATAAGCACTCAACCTCAAGGTCTGTTTGAACCACAAGGCCAGCAGTTCAAACTCACCAGCTGCTCCACGGAAACCCTATACAGGGTCACTATGAGTCGGAACTGACTCAACAACACTTAACAAATATTACCTCATGTATCTTTTCACTTGTGGCCAACAGTTTACCTTGAGATATAGCTGTCAGAAGTTTGGGGCATAGCGGTTAGCTAATTAGAGATTATTTGTGAGCTTACCTTGAAAAACAAATATTTCAAAACTTACTTTGAAATATTTATAGACTCATAGGTAGTGGCAAAAATAATACTCTGTTGTTGTTATGTGCCGTCAAGTAAGTTCTGACCCATAGAGACCCTGTATTGGGTTTCCAAGAAGCATTGGTGAGTTTGAACCACGAACCTTGCAGTTCAGTGCATTAACCCGCAGTGCCACATCAGGACTCAGAGTCCTGTAAATAATTTGCCTGTTATGAGCTTATCTTAGAAGAAATCACTACCAAAGATAAATTGTTTGTCCTGGTGGTGCTGTGGCTTATAGCACTAGACCGCAAGGTCAGTTTGAACCACAAGGTTGGTTCAAACTCACCAGCCACTCCTTGGAAACCCAGTACAGGGTTGCTATGAGTTGGAACTGACTCAATGGCACTAAACAACAGCATATAATAAGGCGAATAGCCCTTTGACACAAGACACTCCAATTTTACAAAACTTAAAGGACAAAATCTAATAGGCTATATAACCAGGGTGTTAAAGGGATGGTTGCCATGTTTCAAAGCATCTGATTGAATTGTGGCCATTGAGTGCTGACCCATAGCGACCTTGTATACGGTTTTCAAGGAGAAGCTGGTGCGTTTGAACTGCTGACCTTGTAGTTAGCAGTCCACTGCTTATCCTACAGCATCACATCAGGACTCTAAGCATATAAAAATCAAAGAAAATCCTACAACAGGGACTCATCCAAATGAAATTCACTGCTCAAGTTAAGTATGAATTCTTTAGTTTTCTGCATCCCCCAAAATATCTTTATGAATATTAGACAAATTTGTTCGCTTTGTTGCTTTATATGGGTGGCATGATAAGAAACACAGTTCCCCAGAATTCCTAAGTCATACAAAACCAACCTTAGAGACTTTGTTTGCATATTTTGGTTCACGAATGATAAATCAACTGACAGCAGACTTCACCTCCTTCTCATCCTTTCTATCTGTATGGTGTTAGGGCATATAAGTGTGTGTACAGAGTGTCTGCACTTCAGAGGCATGCCAATAAATTCCTTACATTTCTCACTCCTAAGTAGGGGCAGAGGTGAAGAGACTGAAATCCCTTAAAAGGCTCATTCTGACCAGATGCCCAAAGCAGACACATCTAATTTTTTTTTTTTTTTTTTAAGGCTTTTATACTGATCATAGAGACTTTATTATCTGAATTCAACAACTGATTCTGTAAATCTCTTTTCACATTCCTGGTAAGCCATCTCATCATACAAACACATTTCTGTGTTATGGCCCCAAGCTGAGTGAGAGATGCTGTAAAGGAAGATCTCCTATTTAATAATGCAATCTCCTGTCTTCCCATCTCTTGACTCTTCACAGATACAAAATAGAAATGGAACAGAACAAAGTCATGTAAGTGAGCTCAACTCATAATCACCAAAGGGATGTACATATCAGGGCCAAGCTGTGTTCTGTGTGTCTGTGTTCAGACTCATTCTGTCCAGTACAGCACACGCTCTGCCCCTGGACTCCAAGTGCATATAAGAGAAACTGGGAGTCCTGTGTAGTCTCTGAAAGTGTGTCCAAGTTGTCATTCAGAACGATCATTACCATACACAGAACACTCATTATGTGTCAGACACTTGTACTGTCTGCATGCTTGTGTGTGTGTCTGAAAGAGAGGAGGGCATGGCATGTGTAACAATACGTTAAATAAGGTCACATGAATACTGCAAGCAATACTACCAAATTGCCTATTTTACTGTACATTTTACTTCCAGCAGAAAGGAGGGGGAACAAAAAGAGTTCTAGCCCTAAATCTCTCCATTTTTCTGTAGCAACTAAAGCATTAAAAAAGGTATTAGGAAGTACTTCCTTTAGAATGAGTTTTCTGGTTATTAGCAGGTTTGCTTGACATGTGTGGGTTTTCTCCCTCTCCATGCTCCAGTCTTGGTGACTGAGAGAATTGGTTACTGAAGTTACGAGATGAAAGGATCGACTAATATGAGATCAAAGCATAATTCAGTAGTCTTCAGAAGGTAACACAAAACTTATCAACAAGCCTGATGTGACGCTATACGATAAGCACTGGACTAGGAACCGCAAGGTTGACAGTTCAAACCCACCAGTGGCTCTGGGAAACCCCATACAGGTTTCTGAGTCATAGAACAACAAGCAATATACCATGAATAAAAGAAATGATTAGGCCTCAGTGACGTTACATCTTGTCAATGTAGTTGAATGAGAATGGCAAACATTGATGTATACTTGTTTTTATTTTAAATTCTTAATGTCTTCACAAAATCTCTAAAATTTGAATGTTTATAATTGTTACAATGGGAAAGAACTTATGTAACATGAGTGGGTTAAAAATACTTCCAACATTGAACAGACTCATACATACCACTTAAGAAAACTGGCTGGAAGTTCCTCAAACATTTTAGTAGGTGCTAAGCAGTAAAAAGAAAACATTATATGAATGAGGGATACTTTTGCAAAACTTCTAAGTCAACAATCGAA